CCCCTTGCTCACAAAGGATGGAGATGAGAATGAGGTAAGAGCCTTTAACTTGGTGCTGAACAAAAACTTGCATGTTTTACTTGTAATGCGTAGTAAGCTCCTGTTGTATTCATTATGGAAATCACTGCTGGTATTCTTCTGAATTGGTAATACCTATGGTTCACAATCAGTAGTATCCTTGTGAAAAATCCATCATTCTTACTCGTGGTTACAGTTTAGAATCCTGGAACTCTTTGCGTATGCAAATATATATTTCTTGTTCCTGTATCATAAAAATTCTTTCAGGATTTGTGTTTTCTGAGTTCTATTCAATTTTCTTCTTCTCAACATCGATGTAAATCTTGTTCTTTGAGAATGGCTGTTTTTGTGACTATCAACTGTGCAAACTTTCTGCTTTGCCTTATTTTGTCAGATGACTTACTAAGATAATCATCATCTTTTTTATCTTTAAAGACTCTGTGTGCATGATTTTAATGATTTTTTTTCGGATTCTGTGTATTTAATAAAGATTTTTGTTATATGTTCCACACAACTTTCTCCAAAGACCCCCTTTTTTTGCAGCCTGTGGTAATATATATTTATGGGTCTGGACTAAGGATTGTGTGCTACAGTAACAGTGATTATTTGAGGTTGGGTATGGCACGAATAGATACTCAATGTTGAACTCCAATCTTAAGCTGACCATACACTAGTAGATTTCTGAGCGAATGTTCATAAGAAAGATCTTTCTTTACCACCCGATAATGCCCTCAAACATTTTGACGAATGTCGATCAAAATTTAATTTGATTTTAACATTTGATGTGGGAATGAATGGAGTTTCCTGAATGAAAACCACTTTCACTGTTAGAACTTCGTTCGTCAAGAAAAAGTTTCCATCCTCCGCCTTCCACTTTTTTTGTCACTACAGTCGAAATTGATCATTAATTTAACCCCATCAATTAATAGAAAGTCGAATGAAAGATCTTTTGTACGAAAGTTCTTTCAAAATCTAACCATCCAAGACAATAAAAGAAAACAGCCAAATAGGCTCTATGATTTATTGCATATAGGTAACCCATCATGAAGAAAACTAATTTAGAAAACCATTTCTTTAGGTACACATACATAATTACTAAAGATCAACAAGTATCCATTAGCATCAGTAGAGCACAACAAACAAGTCCTGCTTAATCTTGTTTTTTTCCTCCCCTTGCTCACAAAGGATGGAGATGAGAATGAGGTAAGAGCCTTTAACTTGGTGCTGAACAAAAACTTGCATGTTTTACTTGTAATGCGTAGTAAGCTCCTGTTGTATTCATTATGGAAATCACTGCTGGTATTCTTCTGAATTGGTAATACTTATGGTTCACAATCAGTAGTATCCTTGTGATATCCTTGTGAAAAATCCATCATTCTTACTCGTGGTTACAGTTTAGAATCCTGGAACTCTTTGCGTATGCAAATATATATTTCTTGTTCCTGTTTTATTAAAAAAAATTCTTTCAGGATTTGTGTTTTCTGAGTTCTATTCAATTTTCTTCTTCTCAACATCGATGTAAATCTTGTTCTTTGAGAATGGCTGTTTTTGTGACTATCAACTGTGCAAACTTTCTGCTATGCCTTATTTTGTCAGATGACTTACTAAGATAATCATCATCTTTTTTATCTTTAAATACTCTGTGTGCATGTTTTTAATGATTCTGTTTAACAAATAACAAAATAAAAAGGGAAATGTGTAGCTTAACATAAATGCATAGTTACACAATAATGTAGAAACTATGCCAAAATCCAACAAGTGTAACCTATTCCCATACTGTGAATGAATTAATGTATGTTTTAGAAATTGATTTCAGTAAATGACCAGCAAAGGATCGGTCCTGGTGAAAAATCTACTGTTCAAATGATCCAGTCTATAATCACTGGTTTCATCAATTCCAAGTAGCAGTCGCTCCATTGGCATCTACTAGTTATAAACAGAGATTATATTGCTGCCTTTAAAGTAGACCTAAACCTAAAAAAGTTAGAATTTGCTATGTTATAGAGAACAGGTTAATTGTGCCCAAACTGTACCTTGAAACATTTACCTCAGGTCTAGAAATACTCCTAAAAAATATCACATTTCCTGTGCCTTGAGCCTCTTAGCTATATATCTTCAGTGTGAGTTCATCTGAGGTACCGCTGCCTCTGACTGCTAGTCTCATGAGATTTGGAATGAGATTTGATTATGCCAGTAATGGGCAGATCATTATTTCCTTGCTGGAGAGGAAGCTGTACGTAAGGAACTCCAGTGCAAGGACCTCTCTTGCACTGCATCAGGAGGGAAGCTCTGAAATGAGGAAGCAAAATCCAGCTCTTCTACCTAGATGCTGCTTCTACACAGAGACACAGTGTGGAGCAAGGCATGGTTAGTCAGTAACAGGGAAAGTTCAGCTGCAGGAAGCCTATATATCGATCCGCCATTATGACCACCTGCCTAATATTGATTAGGTTTCCCTTTTGCCTCCAAAAAAGCCCTGACTCATCAAGTCATGGACTCCACTAGACCTCTGAAGATATGGTGTGGTATCTGGGACCAAGTAAGGTGGAGCCTCCACAGATCGGACTTGTTTTTCCAACACATTCCAAAGATTCTCGATTGGATTGCGATCTGGAGAATTTGGAGGTCAAGTCAACACCTCAAACTCATTGTTGTGTTCCTCAAACCATTCTTGAACCATTTTTTGCAGTGTGTCAGGGTGCATTATCCTGCTGCAAGAGGCCACTGCAATCAGGGAATACAGTTTCCATGAAGAGGTGTACTTGGTCTGCAACAATGTTTAGGTAGGGGGTACATGTCGAATTAACAGCCACATGAATGGCAGGACCCAAAGATTCCCAGCAGCACATTGCCCAAAGGATCACACTGCCTCCGCTGGCTTGTATTCTTCCCATAGTGCTAATGTTATGGCTGATTGATGTATATATTACTAGTGACTAGACCTTTGTCCTCTGTATTTCTTTTTTGGGCATAGCTTCCAAAGGTTCTCTATATTGTTGGTCATCTACACCTTCTTTGGTGGAGATTTCCAGTGTAATAGATACCACACACAGTACAATTTCTGTGCAATTGAACATAAGCTTAGTAGATTGTGCAGTCCAATGGCAATCCAATGACCATCTGCACCATCCTAAGGAAGAGAGGTTCATTGGACAACTCCTCATATTGACCTCTTATAAACTATCTGTATCTCTTCTAAGGGCACCTGTTTCTTTAGAATGAAGATGCTAAGTTTGCATAACCTTAATAAAAATTAAGCTCCATCCTAATAAAGTTGCACATATCCAAACCATCAAGTTTTGCAATTGTATGCTTATAAGTCTTTAGCATGGAAGCATAAAATGAACATGTATTTTTCCTATCCAGGATGCTGGAGAAATGGTCCGATCATTTGTGGGAGGCCTCGAACTGATTGTAAATTTGTTGAAATCGGAAAATAAGGAAGTTCTAGCAAGTGTCTGTGCGGCTATCACCAATATAGCCAAAGATGATGAAAATTTAGCTGTTATAACAGATCATGGCGTTGTCCCCTTGTTGTCCGCACTGGCCAATACGGTAAGTTTCTGCAGCATACTGAATGTGTTTCATGTAAGATTGTGGACTTTACTTAAAGCAATACTAAGGGTTATTTTTAGTCAGTGCATAAAACCCTTTAAGGGGTATCTGTGGTAAAAAACTAAAAATAAATATGCATTTCTGTATTGAATTTCCATTTCCAAGTTGTATCACACTCCTAAAAACCATATACATCTAGAAGTTTGTAAGCTTACTTATTGAAGATGCCTATAGGATGTACTAACTCAATGCACTGGCACACTAAACTACAAGTCAACGTCTGAATAAAGTAACATTATCATTGCATGCTGGAAGCAATGCACGATGGGATATGTAGTCTTGAGAAATCTAGATTGCATCACACCAAGCAGCAGGAAAAGAGAGGCAAAGTACACTGGGAATCCAGGAAGTTGATGAAAGTGATGGGCAGATGAAAGGCAGCACTCACTGCGTAAAAGTTCAAGTAAGCTCTGATAGTGAATCTGTCCAGTAGGTGTATAAAGCATCAATATTACTGAGGAATAGGCACCAGAATGAACCCCCAAGTCTGTTCACAAAAGCCCCACCTCTTTGGAATGAAGCCCTACCTCTTATATTAAAGAATTCTGCATCAGTGCTAAGTCAACCTAATCATGTGACCAGGCACCCATTTCTCCTGGGACATGGAAAATTTTTTGGAGGAATTAGAGAACTTTGAAACACCTTTTTTCCCCAGCAATATTGATCATCTGCACAGCAATATTAATAGTTTATATGTTTAATTCATGAGGCGGGTCCACTTTAATATAAAATAGGCATAACATTTTACTGCAATGTATCCATTTCTAGGTCTAGGTGGTTATGTAATATCATAAGTTAATATGTGAGTCTATAATTGAAAAAAAATCTGCTTGTAATAGTGTGGCCACAAGCTTCAAACTGCGTCTCTAGCTCCTATCACTCCCATGACACCTGGCTGCTAAAGATTATTTAACAAGTCAGCCTCTCCATCCTTGCATGGACGGACAGCAAGCTGCAAACCGCTATAAAACCTGAGATAACATTTCACTCCTTGGAGTTTGATGGCACCCCAGTCCCGACAAACGTTTTCTTTCCTGGTCATGGAACGCCAATAACATAAATACCTTCCTTACCACAGTCCGTAAACTGCTCCATGTTTTTTAAGCATTATCTCAAACGCCAAGGGACCTCTTAAGCAAAATATAAGTGTAAAAGGAAAAAATGTGAGAGTGTCTCAAAGGTTTTCAAGCCATGCAAAGTTTCAAATATAGACTACAGAATAGATCTCTTTTGCTTTCTACAGACGGATGATAAGCTGAGACGCCATTTGGCTGAAGCCATTTCACGCTGCTGCACGTGGGGGCACAACCGCGTGGCTTTTGGAGAAGCCAATGCCGTGGCCCCACTTGTACGGTACTTGAAATCCGACGATCCATCTGTTCATCGGGCCACAGCTCAAGCCTTATACCAACTTTCTGAGGATGCCAACAACTGCATAACAATGCATGAGAATGGAGCAGTAAAAGTAAGTGATTCACTGTGGAGTGTTCACACATGGCGGGATGTAAAAACAGTAAGCAATAAGCATTGATCATTCTTAATGTAACTATTCTGGATACTAGAAGATAAAGTTGAATGAGCTCCATAATATAAACTTTATTTTACATTTTATAGTATTTGTTATATACTACCTACTTTATCAGCAGATGCTTGCATAGGCTTTTGCTGTATCCTTCATGAACACCTATAAATGTTTGAATTGTTTTTGCTATGGAAGGAAATTACAATAATAATTTGTATTGTGTTGTGTTTGCAAAATTACATTACAGTGCAAGGACTACATAGGGCATATAACTTGACACAAACGGGAGATTGGTCTTATTCACAAATGTTTACAGTCCAGCAGGCAATGATTGAAACTTGCTGTCTTCATGATCTCCTGGCAGGTGCTGATGCTATACGACAGCGTGGCTTCTGCCATGCTAGTGCCTTGCTTCCTACTCCAGCCTCTCAACCCCAATAGGAAGTATTAGTGGAGAGAGGAACCATAGCACCCAGCTAGAAAGATTTTAGTCCCAAACTGCTGAGGAGAGAAGTATTTAACTTTTTCTATTACAGGTGACTATTGGCTGAATTTATTTAGCGAAGCGACAGGATCACTTTCATAATGATTGCTTATACCAGCTTTGTCTATTGTTTCCACGTGATCGTATGTTTGAATCCAGGTCGATCCGGCCACATGTTTGGCCAGTTTATGTGTCCGCTGAGTTACTCCCTTTTGGTCTGATATCTTATCACAACAATGAGTAGGGAGGAAGAGTGACAGCATCGAAACACAGAGATCCCCTTAGTGGATGATATTCAAATAAGTACATTCAATACAACAAAAATAAAAAAAGCACAAGCATGTAAAATTACACTTATTTAAAGAAGAACTCCGGGAAAACGTAAAACTTACCCTAGCAGAGGGGCTACCCCTGCATAGCAAAGGTTAAGCGCTCATTTTGTTTAGAGGGCTCAAAAAAAATACTCACCTGCTCCTCAGCCCCTCCAGGGTGCTAGACTGGTTCCCGCATCTTCTTCTCCCTGTTTTATGCAGGTCCCTTAACTTGCACCAAGACACAGCCGGAGCAGGGGCGGGAGAAGTGAGCGTTGACCGACGTGGAACCGAGGATCAGGTAAGTAAAACTGCTTTATTTGAGCCACCTAGACAAAATTAGCACTTAACCCTTGCAGTGGGGCTATCCCTGCATTGCATGGGTTAAAAGAAAGGGTTTTTTTCCAACCTGGAGTTCTTCTTTAAAGCCCTACCCTTCAGGCTTATTGAAGGAAAAGTATTGGAAGAGGAAAATATACTTAGGGCCAGTGAGGAACACTCCAGCTGCCACACATTGGTTCTATACCAAGAGTTGAACAATCATGTAACCACTGATTGCTCGGCTCACGGTCTCCTCCGTGCACAGAGCGGTGACTGTCAGTCACCCCCCACTGCAGGAATTCCCTCCTCCCTTCTTCATTACTCCAGTGCTCATTGGAGGGACAGACAGGGGAGGGGGCTTACTCTAGAAAGCCAGAGACAGCTGTCAATCAGGCAGTCGGGTGGATCCCAACAATATTGTCAAGATTCTTCCCAGTTGCAGTGCAGCTCTGCACTGTCAGCAGATAGCACGCAGTAGCCCTCTATGTACTGGCTTTCGATCACAGGAGTACATTAGTAAATGTACTCCTGTGTTTCAAAAGAGAAGAAAAGAGAAAAAAAATGTTTGGCTTTACTTCTCTTTTAAGATGAAAAGCAAAGGTCATCAATGATATGCAATATCCCATATGAGCTCTCTAGATCAGTAAAAGAATTCTGATTGGTTGCATTTAGCCTTATTGTGGCTCCACTTTACTGTACTACAACCCATTCATTCTTCCTCTTAAAGGCTCCTTTGTAACTCTAATTCGGTGTTCCCTAATTTCCTGATCGCACATATATTATTTTGTCTCTCTTTTTGATGTTACTATTTGTTGTTATTGGAATAAGAATGTAACTGGAAAAAGAACAGCTTGATTTCACAACATAAAAGGCTCATTGAATGAATGCTACCCTAATTCAATGTACACCATTCTACAGATGGTGAAGAAGCAGCAGCGGGAAGACTAGCCACAAAACTGAGAATCACAAAGAATTTTTGTCTTGTCTTCCAAGCTACGCACTAATTACAGCCAATTACTAAATAGCCGCAATTTATTTTTATTATTTCTAGAACTGGGTGACGTCCTTGCTGCACAGTGGCAAAAAGAGTATAAATTAACGTGACGTCTGTCACTTGATATTAATTAGCCGCTCTTTATACCGCCAAAAACAAGCTTGCTAGTTAATCCATCATCTGCCGAAAAAACACCTCAGTCCAAGTTTTCTGTACCAGACCCGGCAACTACATCAATCATATCACGCAGGAGAAAAGTTCACGGAGACAAGAGGCCACATAAAACTCCCTCTTCTCAGACTTTGTTTGTCTTAGGAAGGGGCTACTGTACTATGAAAACTCTTAAGTGTAATTTAAACTGTGTTTAACTGGGTGTCAGGTGCGAACATTTTCTTAAAGTCTAAAGGAAATGGCACACCAGTGACACAATGAGCTTCGTGTATAAAAACTGGATGAAAGAACGTGCGGCTAGCAGCAACCAATCCAATTAAACTATTGTTTTTCCATTGCTGATTAGAGGATTAAAGATAAACCTAGACCAAAATAGGTTGCTGCCTTTAATAAATTAAACATATACCCTGTTTCCCCGAAAATAAGACCTAGTACAATTTTTTGGGAATTGCTAAAATTTAAGACCTATCCGGAAAATAAGACCTAGTTGTGACCATTCCCAGGGCCGGTGGTGGCATAAGGGGGAACCTGAAGAGCCGCAGGAGAGGCAAAAGAGAATCACCTGTGCCAACGAAGCCAGCGCTAGAGGAAGCAAAGCGGCACCGGAGGGAGCTGAGCTGCATAAGCCGATGCCTCCTCTATAGCGCCGGCTCCTGTTACAGGCGGAGTGATACCAAATGCACTCCGCCTGTGAGGAATCGATAGTGAAAGTGCGCTTTGCTCATTCTGGCCAGCGTTAGCAAATTCTCTTGGTTAGCAAATTCTCTTGGAAAGGTACGGCACCCCTGATTGCCCTGACCACCATATTTTTGTACATGAATACATGTAGACTGTTGTACATGAATAAGTGTGGATTGTTGTACATTAACCACTTGCCGTCCGCCCGTAGTAAAACGGACGGACGGCACTGCAGCATTGGCGGGCAGACGGCAATTTTTTTCTGCTCGCACGCGCCCCCTAGCGGGCACGCACGGGCAGAAAAGACCCGGCCATTGCACACACCCGTTACCAGGTGTTTCACATATAGGCGATAAGCGGCTCCATAGCCCGCCGATCGTCTATATGTGCTCGTTCGCGTCCGCCCCCCCCAACGCAATTTTAAGGCTTGACATGTTTGGTGTCTTTTTACCCGACGTGACCCCGTCTTTTATATTTTACCAAAAAATTGGGTAATAATAAATGTTTTATCTTTTAATATAGGGGAAACTGTTTTTTTTTTTAATTTCGGTCATTTTTCCTTAATATAGTAAAAAAATAAAAACCCCAGTGGTGAATAAATACCACCAAAAGAAAGCTCTATCTGTCCCCAAAAAAGGGTATAAAATTAATTTCAGTACAGCGCTGCATGACGGAATAAATGTCAGTCAAAGTACCGCAGCACTGAATACTGAAAAATGGCCTGGATGGGAAGGGGGTTTAACACCGCGGATGTCAACTGGTTAAAAAAAAAAAAAATAAGACCTACCCCGAAAATAAGACCTAGTGTGTTTTTTTGAGCCAAAAAATATATAAGACAGTGTCTTATTTTCGGGGAAACATGGTAGGAGAAATACCTATATGTACACTGCCAACTTCTTTCAGAAATTGCTCGCTTCCAGCCTATCCTGCTAATCCTCTATGTTCACTATTTTCAAAGTGAACTAAACTTAAAAAATGTATGCAGATCGGAAGTTCAGGGGGCACCACCATATTGTTCAATGATGTATGATGAGTATAGGACAAATATTTAGCCTTTAAATGCACCTCTTCCCAGACTACCAACACTAAATCATTTACATATTCGTAACAAGCAATAAAAGAGTTCTAAAACAAGCCATCACTGACCTCACTAGCTGCATGTACTGTGAAGTAATTCATTTTCAAAGATCACAACAAGGAGGGAATTCAGTAAAGGTTTTGTGCCACATTTCTAGTGGTATGGACCGTTAAAGGGTCCTGTGCGAAAGTCAAAATAGCCCTTACACCAGTTTCAGTAGCTTTAATGACACAGATTCAGATAGTCCCTAGCAACCAATGACACTGACAGTGGGTGGAGCCTGATGGGGAAGCTGAGGGAATAGTTGCCCATCAGGTCCACTCCCCTGGTGATTTACAGAAGGCAATGGGTGGATTCCATAGCCATTGACAGCTTGCCAGTGGCTATAGAATCTGCCTACTGTCAATCACTAGCAGAGCGTACCTGATGAGGAACTACTCCCTTAGTATCCCCATCAAGTTTTGGCTTTATATACACTTACATTTCTCCACAAGATCTATAGCTACAGAGGTGAATAAGAGCATGTTGGAAAGTGCTTTTACTGCTTGTTCAGAAAATGTCAATATGTTAGGTTGCATAGTCTGGGCACAGGTTCACTTTAAAGCCTGTAAGCCATAACAGGTACACTCTGATGCAACATCTGAACATGTGGGTTGCCTGTCCACTCCTACTATGCAGACCCCCTCTCCCTCCCCTTCAAAGATTGTTTGCAGATATGGACTTCTGAAAAGTTAGCTTGGCATGCCCCACTCCCCAAATGGCAGTACCTGGTTCTGGAGATTAGTTGGCATGGAGTGCTGCCTCTTTAGAGGCAGGGGAGAGTGAACATGTTTGTTCTATATAAAGAAAGCTTATAGTGTAGCACTATCACCAATGACAACAACAATTTCTACTAAACACTAAAGC